GTTCAAAAACATCTTCTTCTTTGTATAACTCTCAATATCAGATAATCCAATTAACACAATTCTCAATATTAAACAATTCTATTAATTCATACCTACCCTTTTTTTATTTTTTCTATTCACTTTAATATTAAATTATGTATTTAAAAAAACAAATTATTATTTAAAATGTAAATATTATATAATAAATACATAATTTTTAGTATTACAAAACTTTAAGCACGGATTATTACAAATTTAACAATATTTTTCAAAGTATTATCATTTAAAACTTCATTTCTATTTTATCGTAATTTGTAAAAGCCCACCTACGTAATATGCCTTTTGAAAGAAATAAGTACTTTTGATCGACCAAAAAAAAGAAAAAGAAATAAGTACTTACCAAAGGATCAATTTGGGTGGCATCAAAGTAACATAAATGCGATAAGACTAGCACCTTTATTTTTTTTTTTTCGGTGTAGTGCGCTTTGTCTGACTTCCAATTAAGTATACTCCCACACACTCAGTAGTACCCTCCCTGATTTGACCTTCACAGCACGGGTTGTCCCTACAGATACAGACAAGTAGTTAATCACATTTGATCATACAAGACTATACGGATCACTATAGCAAGTAACATTTTATAATGTAGGTCGCGAAGCACGGGATAGAACATAACGGACATTGTCCCAAGATTCGAGAACCCACTTCAACGCGAATCACCCAGCGCGGGGAAGTTCAGCCTTTAAGCCATGGAAGTGTTAATGGGTGTAGGCTGGTAATGGAACCAAGGGGTGCAAGTTTGAATTGAATTTGTCATTAATTGAATTTAAAAAATTATTTAAATTTATTTTATTTTAACGACTTAATTTGAATAATTTGACTCCATTATCAATCATAAATGAGGGTGAGTTGGAGTATATTGAGATTCAATTTAATTTAACCAAAGATTTGAATAAATTTGAGTCGAAATTGAAGTTGATTTTTAGTAAAAAATTTTAAAAATTTAAAGAATAATCTTAAGATAATTATTTATAATGACAATCCAATCTTTGAACTAAAATCAAACTTGATTTCCCAATAGAATTTTTAAAAATAAATAATCATAACTCAAGGATCAATTTTGAAATAAAAAATTTTCAAAATTTGTATGATTTATTGTTTAATAAAATTCAAAAAATATAAAAATATTTAAACAAAAAATGTAAAGAGAAAAGCATCAACTCTAAAAGTAATTTGAGAATATGTTTCAGATTATGTGTTTTTGGATAGAAATCATTTGATAATAAATTTTTAATTCATTATAAATAAAAATATTTTCAAATCGATCAATGCATATTCAATAGTTTCATATATTATTGGGATTTAATTCAAGTCGTTTATTCAATTAGCTTACAAATATGTTAATATTTTTATATTATATATTATATTTTTAATATATTAAAATATAAAATATAATTTTTTTGTTAAATTTTATTTCTCATTTTCTCCAAACCTATTCATTTATATTGATAGAATGACCGAGATAAATTAATAGTACGATGACATTATAATAATTTTAATAAATTGAGGGAGTAAAAAAAATTTAAATTTTTTAGAATATAAAATGCAATTTTCTCCCAAAATACAGGACAGGTAATAATTCCGCCGACTTGTGACAGAGGTGTTAAAGGTCCAGACTCGAGCATGTTAGGCGGCCGTAGGCCAAAAGGTTGGATCAAAAGTTCCCACGCTTGCGCGTGGTTTACAATATCAAAATGGGGCCCACTTCGAAGTGATGCCCTTACCGACACGTGTCATAAGGAATACATTACTGTAGTGGGGTTAGGATAGCGTCTCTGAGTATCCCACCCAGACCAGCCGACCGGCACTCCTACGAAGTCACATGTTCTGACATTAACCTCTTTGTCAGAAGAAAAAATTGTAAGGTTTAGCAAAACCCTCCATTTCAAGATTCCAAACACTGCCCCTCCTCAATACGGAACTCGCCGGGTTATTCCACTTGCACCAATATATGCATTGACCAAGTTACCCTTCTAAGCTTTTTTTCAGTCAGGGTTACCCTTCTTAGCTAACTTGTTATGTTTTCTTCCGACACCAATCTCAGATATCAACATAGCTCACAATAATTCCATGTCTGAATACAATTTGTAATTCTAAAAATTAAATATTAATTTTATAATATTTATATATTTTTTAAAATTAAAAAAAAATAAAAGAAAAACATATAAGTGGATCAATGAAGTTGTTTGACATTAAAAAATATATTAATTAAATTATTTGATATTAGAGGTCATGCAAAAAATATGATATGATATTTTTAAACGAAATTTTTTTAAAGATAAGTTTTGTACTATTAAATCAAAATAGAAGAAAATTAAATTATTCTTAACCGTTGCTAAAGTATAAAATTTTAAAATTTAACTTTGTAATTATAACATTAATAAATTATAAGAATGTAATATTTTCTATGACAGGCACAAATACTAATGAATAGTCTTCTGTGTCTCCATTGATAAATTGCTAAGACTAGTCAGAAGCAATGTTTGTGTCGCTCATAATTGGTAGCAAGTAAATAGTAATCAAGCCCAACTACAAAGTTTTCATATGCACAATCAAAGAGATCGTCACCTTACCGAATCAGAATACTAATTTACCTGAACTGCCCTTCGAATCCCAGCTAAAATACCTTCCCTGCACCCCTCCAAAAATCCTAAAACAACCCACGTCATCATTCGAGGTTGATCATGGGACTCATGCTATGTGATAAAGGAAAAGTCTATGGTACTTCACAGGACGTGGACTACTCGCCAACCATAAGTTGACACGTGGCATAAAAAATTTATTAATAAAAAAATAATGTTACAGTGATCAAATTTTGAAACTAAATTTAAAACCCAAATAACATGGTAGTTGATTTGAGTTTTTTTATTTGATGTCATGTCATTTAAATTTCAATAAACACTCCAAATAATATACTGTCATCTCATTTGGACTTCAAATTTTATTTCAAAATTTGATCAACATAATATTACTGTTACTAAAAATATCTTTTTGTCCGTCACAAATTGAGATCAATTGAACTAATTCTTTCGAGGCCGAGGAGAAAATATTTGAAGAGAAAAAGAATATGTTCACTGGTAAACCCGAGCATTAACTTTCCTTGGAATGCCGCCTTGTGAAGAATGAGTTAATGTGACAAATGATCATCACCATATTACATTAACTTAAGTCTAGCACTAAATCCCTCAAATAACAAAAGAAGACATGACTTTTATTGACATAAACAACTAATGTGAACATCAAATTAAATGTTTGACCTAAAATCATATATGCGCGAAATAAAGTACTTGACATTTTTGGGATGACAAAATTAAGGGGTGAACAATAATAAATACCTAACCGCCCGAGTAATCCAATAATGATTACTTCCCGTAACCAAAAGTTTTTGTGGTATTAGGAGAGGTACTAAATGTGCAACTCGATGTTAAAAGGTTTGTTGATGTGATAGTCCTTGCGGAGAGATTTCAATCTTAGACTATCAAATTTAAGCTTCATGTACTCAAATGATTTCTATGTCTAACATTTTTGAATGTATAAATAATCTAATGAGAGAGAATTCAAGTTTGGATGCTAAACCAGAATTGTATAGTATTTATATCCTCTTATCCTCAAGTGTCGATTGACATAAATATTGAAAGAGATATTCTCGATACAAGAATTTCATCTCAAATTCGACCGAGAGTCACTATCTCAAATTATTACAAAAACATCACCTTCAACAAATTTGTGAGTACAAGTTGATAAGAAGTGCATATTTTGCTCTCATTAATCTATAGTAATTGATTTTCAAATAAAAAAACAAATAAATTTTGTACTTGTAATAATTTTATTTAATAAAAAATAAAAATAGAATACTAAAAACTCGTTTCAATTGTTTAAGCGTGTTGTTGACAATTTGATGTATTTGTTCACCTACCTATTGATTTACAAATCTTTGAATTGTAAGCTAATGAGAAATCACGGAAAAATTCTACTAATATACATGAACCAATTTTCTCCCCAAGCTGGCATTCAAACATAAATATCATTTTCAGTCCTATTAGTGAGACTTTGTGTAGTTTGTGGGTGAGAATGATAGACGCACGTGAGGGTGCGAATTATTTATTCTCAAAATGTTACGGTAAAAACTAGTTACATGATGTCGTTGAAAAGAGGTTAATTTGATGTTTGACCTTAAAGTTGGGAGTTGAAAATCATTGTCTCTTCCTTATAATAATACCTGCCCAAAAAAAAACCAGATGTTGAATTCATTTGGAATTAATTTTTTTAGGTGTAAAACAAAAATTTTAAAAATAAAATAAAAAAATCAGAGTTAAAATTTTTTTGAAATCGTTCATAATATTTTCTAAAAAGTCAATTTATAGTTATAAGTTCTTGAATAAACCCAATTTTTTAGTTTTTTTTTTATATTGATAAAAGTTATTTTTACCCAACAAATTAATAAAAAAATTGCTCAATATACCTGAATCTAAACGAATCAAAAAATTTGAGATTTTAAACCACCTTCAAAAAATCTGTTGGTAAAAAAACACATGCATTATTACTCTTTGATTCTTTTGATAGAGCAAGGGTATTATAGTTATGCAAGGCAACGTTTGGCGATTTGGCGATCATTTCCCGACTTGCTCGATGAACGTTAGCGGTTTTCTTAGCAGGCTATAATCCCAGGCATAATCTACACCTGGTGTGTTTTTTTTTTCCAGCCGTTGGATTAGGGAATTCCATATATGTTTGTGACCTTTTCTGTGTTTTTTCACTTTATATCTCAAAGAATCAATTGATCGTACGGATGCAATTGAAAGATTAAGACTCTTATGAAGGGCGTGTCCACTTCTTGACGTAACTCCAACCCATTTGGGAATATGTGTTTACTGTGGACGGCAAGATTGAGAAAGAGAGAGCAGCAGACAATGGCATCTGCATGTTTTTATTGCACAACCCCTGCAAATATGGATCATGCAAATCCTCTCCTACTCTCTCTCTCTCTCTCCAAAATGACACTATTAAATAGCACCCTTCATTTCTTTACTCAACAGAGTTCAGTTTAGTCTCTATCAGCTTAATTTTGCCTGATATTAAGGACTTTCATTGTTAGAAGTTATCAAAAACATCAACCCTTTCGCTTTCTTGACCTCAAAACTAGACTTGGATTAGGTAAAGGTGGAGAGATAATAAGGGTAGGTTGTTGGCTAGGAGGGGTGTATGGGTTGGTGTGTCTTAGACTACTCAGACACCAGGAGAGAGTATATCTTTTCTATTAGAGAGAGGAAGAGAGGTCAGCATGCTTTGCTTCCTGAACCAAACTACGCCATATTTTTGGGGCCTGGTTGCGTGCTATATGTTCTAATTCCCTTCCTGTTTTGAGGGTGCTTCGTGTGAAGGGAATCTCTCTGGTTCTATACTCTTTACTCTTTTTTTGCTTCCATTCCGTCCTCAGTCCTTTGTTCCCTCTCACCAAAGGCCTAACCAAGAGGGAGAGAGAGAGAGAGAGCCCACTCTTACTGAGCGTGCAAAAAGAAAAAAGAGAGCTAGATTGCAATCTCACAACTATCATAACTCTTTCACATCTTTGGGTTTTATTAGTCTTTGTGGGGTTTCTCTTGGGGTTATTGTATTGTCTTCGCTCAGAGTCTTGGGATGTTGTTTTTGAGACCTTGATAGCTTGAACCTATTGGAGTAGGAGATCCTTCCTGAGGGTTGTTTGGTGGTCTTATTGATTTTCACTCCTGGGTTTTTTGATTTAGGATCTAAACAGCTCTGTTTGGATGATGTCAGGATGTGGGTGTCCATAGTTTTGAGCTTTGGTTAAGCACTCAAGGCATGTACTCTTCTATCTTTTGTTCTTTCAAATTTCTAGGTTTAAAGCTTATGATTTGTGTATGGTGTATGTTTGTGATGTTCCTTTGACTCGAGCATGTTTTCATTTTACAGTGCTGTTTCTTCTATCTGTTACCTGTTTCTGGTGTGAAACTGGGAAGAAAAAGTTCGATTTTTCCGTCTAGACTTCCTCTAGTTTTTGACTTTTCTTGGCGAAGTGATGGAGGGATATTCCACAGAGCAAGAGGCGTGTCCACAGTTGCTAGATTTGATTCCAAAAGAGAGAGAATGGCTTGTGAAAAGGGAAGAACGAAGCCATGGAGTTTCAGAGGAGAAAAAGCTCGAGTTAAGGCTTGGTCCACCAGGCGAACACTGGACCATCAAAGATTGTTCAAGAGACAACTCTGGAGAAAGAGATGAATCTCTTCTCACTCTTGGGTGCTTTTCAAACATGTCATCCATGACCCACAACGCTAACACTTCTGGTGCTAAGAGAGGGTTCATAGACACTGTTGACCACAAAACAATAGAGGGTACTTGGATAATGAACAACAAAGGAGGCCAAACCCAGAAATTTTCTTCTTCAGAGAGTCCATGGGCATCTTCAGGTTACCAGGTGAAGACCCAACAACAGAACCACCAGACAAGGGCTCCATATCCCCAGTACCAATCAACCCCACAAGGCCAGCCTGTTACTGCTAGGGAATCGTCACAGCCCTGTTGCACTAAAGTGGTAGACTTGCAGAATGCAGAAAAGAAGACATTTTCACCAGCTTCTGCAAATACAGCTGTGCCCAACAGCTCTCAGAAAAGGTATCCCACTTTTCTTTATTGCTTTCCTTTTGGACAGAGGATATTCACTATTTCAGTCGCTGGTAGATTCCGTGTTCCATGCATAATAGTTTCATTTTTTTTTATTATTTATGTTTCTCATGTATTGTGCATATTATTACTAATTTCTCTGTTTTCTGGTTTACATATCCTTTTTTGTGAAAGTATCTGTTTTTACAGTTTTTTCTGGGTTTTACTATTTTTTTGATGATGTTACTCTGTTGCCTGGATTTCCAAGTTCTTTCACTTGCCACTAAATATAAGCATGATCCTTCTCCTTCTTATGTGATAGTTTTGCTGTTTTTTGAATGTTATCACTTTAAGGGTATAAATATCTTTTTTTGGGGGTAAATAATAGTGTTAATCTTACCTACGAATAAATTTTAGTTTTTTTTTTTTTGGGTAACATCATGAAGCAATTCTTGGGAACTTTTTCTCTGTTGTACTGGGGCACATATTTGTCTTTTACACGTTTTGTCGTAGTAATTGAATTTGGTTTACTGTCTTTAAGTTGGATTTAACTTATCTATTAAACAAATTTAATGTCAATTGTCTGACTAATCTGTGTTATTCCTCTCTTGATGGTTCCACAAACAAAATACAAAACAAAAGATCTGCTCCTACTCCAGTTGTGGGGTGGCCTCCAATTCGGTCATTTAGGAAGAATCTTGCCAGTAGCAGCTCTTTAAAGCCCTCCCCAGAGTCTGAAAAAGTGGTCCCAAACAAGGCTTCGAACGAGAAACCGATTGAAACTAGCCGAAAAGGATTGTTTGTGAAGATCAATATGGATGGGGTCCCAATTGGAAGAAAAGTGGATCTTAAAGCCTATGACTGCTATGAAAAGCTCTACTCTGCTGTTGATGAACTCTTCAGAGGCCTTCTTGCAGGTTATCTACAGTACTTCATCTAACAATAAATTATTTCAAGTTGTGAATAGGAAGACAGTCAAAATACGATATTAATGAATTAGTGTTCATTTGTGACTTTCTAAGCACATGGTAAATGGTTAAGTAACATTCTTTTTCATATCAACGTAAGGCTGTAATTATGTCGTGTTATGTACCCCCTTGGTCAATCATTAAGAAAATATTATTAACTTAAGTAAACATGGTATACTGTGAGAGTTTGTGTGTCTAATCTTTATGAGATTTGATTGGTCACTTTTTTTATGATTATTTGTTCAGCTCAAAGTGATTCCTCTGCCGATGGAATGAAAAACAAGGAAGAGGGAGAGAAACCTATTACTGGTCTGTTAGATGGAAGTGGGGAATATACCCTTGTGTATCAGGATAATGAAGGAGACAGGATGCTTGTTGGGGATGTCCCATGGCAGTAAGCATCTTACAACTGGATATGATGCACTTTGTTTATTCTATTCCTTTTAAAATTCTGCCACTAGTTCACTGAAGCTTTAGAGAAATAGCCACCACTTGTATGAATTTAGTTTACTTAATTCTTCCCAGGCTTAAATTCCAATCCTACTCTGGATTCCCAAAGTTTAATTCCTTTTCCTGATCACACATTTTAAATAACCATTTGTGTATGATTGTAGTTTATTTAATTCTTTCTGGATTTAGATTCCAAGCCTAATCTAGATTCCCTAAATATAATTCTTTTTCTTGATCTCACATTTTTTGTTAGTAATGCATGCGAAGGAACGCTGTTGACCTCTTAATAATCATTTATAAGTCCCACCCAAGTGTGTCAATTATTTCACATGGAATTCTTCAGTCTTATGATACTGTGATCTTGTTTCTATATTGTTATAGATTGCATGTACTAATTACTAATAAGGTATATTCACACGTGATTTGAAGGTTGAATTTGTCTGAGATCACTATTCTGCTGTAATTTACAGTAGATTGCTGGTTGTAATCTGGTTTCTGAATATGTTATTTGCAGCATGTTTGTATCTACTGTAAAGAGGCTGCGCGTGTTGAAAAGCTCTGAACTTCCCACTTTATGTCGTGAGTTTTAGTTTTCAAGTTTCCATTGTGTATTTTGATATCTTGGTGTAAAATTTCACCTAAGCTCGGATTATCTTTTATCTCTTACTCTGCAGTTGGCAGTAAGCAAGAAAAGCTCACACCAGATGCTTCATGAAGAAAAGCATTACTAGTGGGAGGAGTCTTCACTAAAGATTGGGGAAGAGACTTGTTTTGTGATTATTACTTGACATTTTGGGTTAAATTTTCTATGGTTTTAAGGAGAGAGAACGAAGGCATTTGTGATTATTATTACAACTCTAGCTAGTTTTTATATTGAGGACCAGTGGACTTGTTTGTATGAATATTTGCCTTGTTTTTTGTCACTCTTGGCTACTATTGCTATGATTGATGGTGTAAACACTTCGGGTCTCAACATTTTCATAATTCCCGAGGGGAAATTTGTACCGCTTTCTGTTACCCAGAACCTTAACTCATAAAAGCTCGACCTGTAAGGGACTTCGTCGATGGTCGATAAATTATCCTTTTTAGTTTTCCAATTAATGTTGATGGATCTGCTGCTCATCTTCCTCTCACTCGTATCAGTCTCTTGACAACCTTCCCCGCCCCCTCTCCTCTCTCTTCCCAAGTCCCAATCAAGATCCTCAGAAACCATACAGAAGATTTAAAAACTAATTCCGCTACAAATCTAACATTAAATCGATTTCCGAATAAAAGAACAGCACAAAATTCAAATTCAGCAACCAAACTGAGAAAATTGCACAGATCGTCCCAGAGAAAAAAAAAAAGCAAATGAACCAATTCGTGAATGCGGAGATAAATGCAACACAGAGGCAAAGTATCTTAGTAGATCTCGATTAAAGAAGAACAAAAGATAGGACTGACCTGAGCATTGGAGATGAGAATGAATCGGCGTACAGAGTTTCAGAGCTGTTCTGAATAGTTAGGGTTTTCCAAGTTACTGGGATTTGAGCAGTGGGAGTGGGGAGGTTTTGATTGGAAAAAGAGGATTAGAGAAAGGAGGGAAACTTTTAGAATTTCTTTATTTCAAACAGCCCCAGGGAACGACATTTATAGTCCACGTTACCGCGTGTAAGCTTTAGAAAGTCATGGGATTGAGTGGTACAAATAATTTTTTTGCTTAGAAAAGTAAAGTTGTGTATATATAATCTTTCACAAATCCTGCAATGACAGGAGGATCATCCACTGGATTAGCACTTTCCATTTCAGAATCGAATCCCCCTAAATATAAGTAAGGTCCAGTGAATTTCCCAAATCAGCTCCTGGCCCTACCCGACAGAAACGGTTGGGGGTATTTGGCATGGGTTGAATATTTATAAAAAATTGGGAGATTTGAAAAAATCTTTAACCTTGCCTTTCGGATCCATCCAAACACTCCATCCCTCTTTCCTCTTTTAATTCTTTGAATTAATCAACGGTACTGAGATTGTCTCCTAATATTTCCTTCACTCAAGGATAAATTTTGATAGAATTAAAGAAAATTGTACTGAAAAAAGATAAAATTATGTGCACTAAATTATCTGCAGCCTTTGGATTAGTGTGCGTGCAAGATTCTGCACAATATAAAAAATATTGGGAACAGATCTCTCCCCTGGTGAACTTTGAGTGAGCCGGTTGGGTGGCCAAACACGCTGCTTGAAACGGCCTGCGAGGTACGGTGGCAACCTGGAATGGCAAAGGAAGATCCTGGGAAAGGAAAAACTCTGGCAACCTGGAATGGCAAAGGAAGATCCTGGGAAAGGAAAAACTCTCTACTACAATACAGATTTTCTCAGTGTTTTCTCCTTCCTCTCTCTCACTCAAAGACTGACGACCGTCGGAGGGGATACGGATCAGGTGCCTAGGATTTCAGCTGACCTGCGCGCGTTCGGCAGTAGCCTTTTACCCCTCTTCGCCAATAGGACCCTTTCCTAAGGCAATCCCACATCGGAAGAGAGTCGTCTTCCCCCCTGCCATATAAGTGAACACTTCTTATGGAGGAGGTACCCACTAGCGACCTGATCAGGTGCCTAGTGGGTACCTCCTCCATAAGAAGTGTTCACTTATATGGCAGGGGGGAAGACGACCCTCTTCCGATGTGGGATTGTCCTATTGGCGAAGAGGGGTAAAAGGCTACTGCCGAACGCGCGCAGGTCAGCTGAAATCCTTCTGTGGGGGAGGACATCCCGAACGCGCGGATAAATCCCCTACAATTAGTTATAGAATTCATTGATCTTACGACTATAAATGATTTGGTACACAATTTTGATGTGCATAACATTGCTCATTACAAAGTGTTTGGTTAGGAATGAAATCAAATAGAAACAAACTTCCTTTTATTTAGAAAAATTAGTTTTGCTCTTTTTTTTCCCTCCCCCAAAATAATCGACTTAGCGAGTGAGGCAACAAAGAAATAGAAATCCCAGTGTTAGCCCAGTGACCATAAGGCCCAACTCTGTGAGGTGTGAACCCAATAACGCTCTTCAAGTTTAAGAGTGTCAATCATGTCGTGTCATATGATTTTTAATATATGTCGTATTTATGTCAATAAAAAAAATATTTAATTCTGCAACATCTTGTACGATACTATGTAAAAAAATTTAAATATTATAAACTACACTTTTTTTTTCTGCCTATGTTACCCTTTAATTGTGTTATTTTTGTGTAATATTATTTTGACTCATTTATCACTCATATCAATTGCTTGTGTCATTTTTAAGATTTTTATTGGATCCAATTCGTGTTAGCGAATAAAATTGTAATTAATCAGTGGATCCCACTTGTGCTTATACTACTTAGCAAACAAATAATTGCATAAGATTTATGTATGATTCGTATGTAAGGTTTTGGGTTCGGAAGAGGTTGCTAAAAGCAATCCAATCCCCCCCCCCCCCAAAAAAAAAAAAAATTCCAAAAACCAACCATCCAACATGTCGTAGGAGTCCACGTCTTGCTACAAAGAATTTAATGGAATTATTTTGTTTTATTTATTTTATTTTAAGAAATATAATTCATTTACGGTCCTATGATCCCAAACTATGGTCTGGTTTTAAAATTACTCTTTAATTTTAAATTATTTTAAATTACCAATATTATGTTGAAATAAACAAAAAATTTCATAATATTTGTTTGAATTTACCCCCTAATGGACAACCATGCAGCACTTGTATATAAAAATTAGTACTATCCCGTTAAAGACATGTTTTGTTGTTCATATGTTAAGGGCTGGTAAGATTTTGTGCGTTGTATCGAATTAAATTACATGCTCCATTTGCTTGTGCAGGTCCCGTCAATTCTTTTGAGTTTCGGTCGTGTGATTTTACTCCTCAGGCAGAGTGGTTCAAGTGTTAGTTGCGTTCGTGAACCGCGTAGACCAAAGACGAATACTCATCATTTACGACAAGAATTATCAGGAAATCTAATCCTCTTCACTCTCCCATGCTTTCGCACCCCAGTGTAGGTGGAGACCCAAAGAGTTGCCTTCGCTATTGGTGTTCCTTTGTTGGGTAAGTTTGTTGCCTAATTTTCTATTTTTTATTTTTTGTTGAGTTAGTCAAATGGATTAGATGAAAACTATTGGTTACTATAATGTTTTTAATTTAATAAATACGTTCACCTGGTAAAAAATAGAGGAACAAATTAAAATTTGAATAAAATTTTAGGATTTTCTATAATATTTATCCCCATGATTTACAATCAGCCTACAATAATAGTTAAAAATAAACAAATGATAGATATTACCACATTCTTTTTTCTTTTTTGTTTCCTTATATTTATTTCAAATTATGTCTTTGAAAAAATAAATTCTCTCAAATTTGGAGAAAGTGTGGGATGCCAAGAGAATGTAAGAACTGCATTTGGTCCCAAAATTCTCACTGTTCCTTTCGTCAATGTTGTGTAAATAATTAGACTAAAAAACACGCATTTTCCTAAGTTTTAAAAATATTACACATACATCCCCTTATATTTATAAATAACACAAAAATTCCCTGAGGTTTAAAACTCATTACACGGAGACCCCCTCCGTCTTCCTTTCGTCATTGCTGCTAACAAGAAGTGATAATTTTATCCCAAAAATTTTTATTATTTTCACAATTGTTCTTCTCTAAATTTAATACCTAAAAAAAAAAAACCTTTTTGAAAATATTATCAATTTTTTTGGTACTAAATTTTTTAAATTTTCCTGAACTATTAAATTTTTGAAATTTTGTCAATTTTTTTAATTTACTTTCACGTATTTTCACGTAAACTAGAAATTTTTGAATTTATCAAATGGAGGTGAGCAACTCTTTATAAAAAACTAAGAGCGAACAATTGATTTGATTTAAGTACACGTGATCGAATATTGACCAAAAGAGAGTTTATGAAGTGATATAGTAAGACAATTCAAAAAAAAAAGTGATATAGTGAGAGGGAAGACGTTATGCTACAAAAAAAAATTATATTTAAATTTTAAGTTTATATACAACTAAAAAATTTTATAATTTAAGGTTAATTTTGTAATGGTTTAATCAATACCAAATAATATTCTTCTAAACTTAATTTTCAAAGAGCTTTACTTTGATCCATATATTCTTTTAAACTTAATTTTAACCATTGTTTTACTTGGTAAGTTAGAAGAATAGAATTTTAGAAAATTTATGGCAGCCCCGAAAACAGGAAATTTGTTTTTCAGGAAAATTACACTTTAACTTCGAAAGTTTTAAAAATTATGATTTGACCCCAAAATTTTAAAAACTTTGTATAAACTACCCAGATTACTTCTATACTCTATTAGCTCACATTAAAAATATTATTTCTATGTAAAATATATATAAAATATATATCAATTGGTAGGAAGTATAAAAATTAAATATAGAATCGCGAAATGACAAAGTTGAGAATAGAGATTGATCGTTGTATGTTATTTTGGATTAGGTGGTGATTGCATTGAGTTGAGAAAGAGGGATTTGAATTGAATTTTGGGAATCAAGGTGAGTAGTTTACTACTTCTTTTGGGAGGATTTTTTATATTAAATGTGTGGGAGCATGCATGTGGATTTTTCATATATATGATATATGTTTTGATGTTTGGGGTTGCAATTAAATGTTTTGAAATTGTGAACTGTTCTATATGTAAATTTTGAAAAACTTGTGGGATAATTTTATATCATTGTTTTGGTGATGAAAGAAAAATTTTGTGTGCATTGGAACTAAAACTATAGTTTTGGTGCGTGTAAAAATCATGTTTATGAGACGAGAACTGGGATTATCAGGTCTAAGTAGTAACAAGCGACTGAGCCAGTCATCAGGCTAGTGATGACAAGAAACGGGTCAAGCTAGTGGTAATAAGAGATGGGGTCAGTCATCAGGCTAATGATGACAAACGACTGGATCAGTTATCAGGCTAGTATTAACAAGATATTAGGCCAGTTGTCAGACTAGTGATAACAAACATGATTTGACAAATATATTTTGAATTGAATGTGTGTTTGAGTGTTTGGGGTTATACATATCTTTTCATTTACTAGTTTGTGCACACGTGCGTTGCACGTGTACTATTTTGAATATCTAATATATTATGTATTGTTATTGCACGATTATGAAAATATCATGAAAGATATGTACCCTAAACCTGAATGTATTTTGCCACAACTTTCATGAACCAGTTTCTAGACTCTGTTGTTATACTTGGCATTGTTAGAAAGATTTTTTTGGATACTGACATAGAGGTGATCTACAACCAAAACCATGCAGAAGAAACTATATCTATTACTGTCCTGTAAATGATTTAAAAGTTGAAGTCAATAAACATTGTAATAGTTAATAGACTGCCTACTCTCGTGGAAACAATATCAAGGTACAAACAAGCCATAACTAACCTTATGCTTCATCGTAGAACAATGGCATTTTATCATTCTTATAGTGCATCTCATTTGTGAAGGTAGAGTCAAAAATTTGTATATCTCGCATTCTTAAAAATATGGACTCATTGTTTTTATTTTTCAAATTTGAGTTTAAATTTCTCGTTAATGAATCTCCACGACTCTAACAAAGTAAAAGGTAATCTTTTGATGAAAAAATGGACGGTAATCTTTTAATGAAAAAAAGACCATTCTTGGTGTGCTAATTTCTCAAAGCTTGTATGGTTTAACAAGGATTAACATTTAAAACACTAATGTCTAAGTATTCACACTCAGTTTACATTTGTACAGATGAGAAATCGATATCGGAATTCTTTTTTTTTTTTTTTGCTGGTTAAAATGAAGGGGTGGGGGCAAGGAAGAGTGCCCAGTGACCACCCCAATAGGCCCTCACCAGTGGGATCATAAGGCTCTTGACCGCGCCTGGAACATCTCTCAGGACCAGACTTAACTAGGCTAGCATAGCGGCCAACCACCAAGCCCCAAATGGGAACTCCAAGACTTGAACTCTCAATCTCAAGGTGAAGAGTAAGGTCGGTACCCCACTAGACCACCCTACTTGGTGCTCGATATCGGAATTCATATCAATATAAGTAACAAATAAAGTTTTTCTATGAAGGAACCTCCCCAAACGTGTGGATTAACCACACATACATACTTCAAAAGAAAAACAAATATTGATGATTAAAGAGTAAAAACTAAGCACGCTAGAACTCATGGCACAACTTCTCAAATTATAATGCATTGGGCGTCAAAAACATGAATGCTATGGTAAATATGTGGAATTAGCTAAAGAAACTTGAACTATTTAAGGTAAAGCAAACTGAGCCTCCAAAAGAAATTGGTGCATGACCTGGTTTATCTGTTGGAACACATACAAACAACATGTGATGTCCCACGACTTTCATTGGCTTCATGTGCAACCTCCGAGATAAATATGGTAGGTTCGTCACATTTTTCCATTTGAAACAGAAGGGCAAAAAAGAAAAATAATCATCAGCAAGAAAATCATAAAGCACAACTTAGAAGGCAACATGCCAACAACTTAAAAGCAGGACAAACACTATAGTAAACTTTTATCAGTAAACAGCACACTACATTAAAAATCATCCATATACAGCAAATGCGTGTTCGCATATGAGCAACAACTATTGTCCAGTAAAAATTATCATGCAAAAAATTTAGTTTCAAACTATATAACACTTCCTTTAGTCTCAAGACACCAAGGCCAAAGGGAAAAAAAAAAAAAGAAATCCTCCAACAGAAAATGAAAAAGGAAAAATTAAATGTTCATAGGCAAGTTCGATAAATCTTTATTTTTGAGCTATCCTTTAATTAATTGCCAATACGTGAAAAATTCGAAGGTAGAAAAACTCAAGATTCATGAAAAAAGTCCAAAGAACATTGGTGGCTAATCCATTCTCCTAAAACAATGAACAAATATCAAATATCACACGTGAGTATGAAGTGTACAAGATGGAACAGAGAAACCCCACCTAATCCGATCTTGATTGGTGGTAGAAGAAGGTCAAGCTGGTAAATGCTAAAATAGTAGACCCAAAGCAATTAGTTAATATATATAAATCCTTTAAAGGGGTTTTACAGCGAATGGTGGCGTGTTGGTTGGGTATGCAAAAAAAAATTTAAAAAAGGACGATGAAAATGCTAATGATAATACAACATTGGGAGCTTCTCTCATATTTGGCAAGACTATCCCTAAATTCATATTATCATGTAATTTCACAAACATGTGGTTCTTAGAGGACTAAATTATTGGCAAACAGATTGACCTAGTTTTTCTTCAACTTCAATTGTTCTTATCCAATATGCCATATAGGAGTTTCATATAAGCCTATAATCAAATAGAAAAAAAAATATTATGGTCTACCACAGGAAAAAAATGCATAAAGACAGAGAATCTATGGATAAGATATACAATTCAAGTAGTGAGGGATCAGTACCTCTTCAAGCTTTTGCACCGCAGAGGGAGTGACTGGCAGAAGCTTTCAATTGGTGAAGCACCTTTTCAACTTTATGCATATATCACTATGTGAAACAGGTGGGAATTGGAGGGGCATGAATGGTTCAACTTCTAATTCACAATTACTGTTAATTGTAGATTGAATACTTTTGCGTTAGCTTGGTAAAGTTAATTGATATATTCATTGCACAACCTGGAGGGTCAAAAAGTTTTAAACAAGTTATAGCTATTATATGTAGGATACAATTGACTTTCTAAGATTGATCAAGGGCAATATAGGAAAAATAATATTATTCATGTATGTTGATATTTTATAGTCGTATAGATAAAGTTATTTTGTGAAAATGAGTGGTGTTTTGGGTTGTAAATACCTTTTCATTTATAAAGTTATTTGTGATCATGAAATCATTTGTTTAAATGTTTATATGGGAGAGGTTGAGGTACAATTTGTTGTATTTATGTGTGTATCAAAGTTTATTTTTGTATATAAACTGTGAGATTTATTTTCACACCTCATTAGAGGTGGTTGTTATTCACGGGTCATTGTGTTCACCCAAACATTTAACATTTTTCAGGTGAGGAGTAAGTCCACAGATAGACAAGCGATTAGAGGATTTGAAGATTTAATTTACTGTAGGCCTTCAGGAATAAAAATCTTTTATAGTTTTGAAACAAATGTTTAATTGTTTTGGGAACAATATTACTGATGTTTAGAGTAGTGAACCTTACAGTTTAATTATTGTTTTACATAGATTTAGTAATGATGTTGGTAATGTTTATTTTATTCCTCTGGTATTCATTAGGTCAGTGGAATAGATCACGTTATTATTTGTCTTCCTCTGTATTTTGCATTTATTATGCATAGAATTGGTTGATTAAGGCCTTGGTGGCCGGTGCGCCGCCCACCCTATGTGATCCAGGGTGGGGGTGTGACCGTGGTGATTTTTGGTGGTGTTTCGGTGGGGTTGGGTAGTTGGTCGTGATAGTGGATTACAAGGGTGGGTGGTGGTGTTTGCATGGGGGTTGGGTGGTGGGTTTTGGTGGTGTTTCAGTGGAGTTGGGTAGTGGGTGGGTGGTGATGGTGAGTTTTGGTGGCAAGGCAACAAATGATTCCCCCTTTAAAAACTTCGAACAGAATATCTTGGCCCATAAGGGCTTCCCTTGTGGCATGGAAACACATGTTCCACCTGTGAAGTAGAACTTACCACTATGTTTGTAAATTGATTGGGTTTAGATTGAATTTTAACTTACCTAAATTCAAATTTGATTTCAAATGTTCAATCCGAATTCGATCTGAATAATTTAATTAACTAAATTTTAACAAATTATACCTAAATTTTAATTAAATTTCTTTAAATAATTATTTAATTCAAATCCGATCATAATCGGATTGGATATAAATATATCCAAATCTAAATTCCACTCCATGAAATAAAAGATATCAAATTCAGATTCGTGTTTAAATTATTGGTAAAAAATATTAATCTATATCCGACTAATTGAATTCAAATTTAAATCAAAATTTGATCCATTGACAGGCCTAATTACCACTAAAGGACACCAAAGTCATCCTACGGTCCTACTTTAATGATATAAATTGCCAATTCGCAAATGTAATTCATTGTAATTCTTAGATTCTCAGCAAAAGTCAAATATCAATCGATTGATTACAATGTATTAGATCTTTAAATTTAACCATCAAATTAAGTACAAATGTCGTTATTGTTTTTTCCTCAGGCAATTAAGAACATTATGAAACCATCAAAAGGGCCTGGAAGCATGAATTCATGAGAGCCACACCATATCTCTTAATAACATAATAACCCTTTCAACACTACAACAATCACAACTACAGAGAAGTGATAATGGAAAAATTATAAGCAGAAACCTAAGACAAGTAACAGATTATGAAACTAATGGAAATCATACAATGAGTCTTAGGATACTAAAGAAGCTTCAGTAGCTTCACTAACTTCAGCTGAACATACTTCAACAACTTTGTACTCATCAACATCATTGATGTCATCTGAATGAACTTGAGCATTCTCTAACAATTCACACGACTTCTTGCCAGCTTCATCATCAAACTTATTCACCCCCTTCCTAGACTCATTGAGATACTTTGATCTAATTTTAATGCGCTTTCCTTTAATGTAACGGTACTCCCATTTTGGCGGTGGATATTTCTTCTTCAATTTTTCGTATTTGTCCAACATACCCAACTTTTGAAATACATCTCCAACCATTGTAACAATCGACATAGTTGGTCGGATGCCAAGCTCGTCCATGTCAGCAAATATCTGCAAAATCAAATTACATATAAGTAAAATCCTAAAATGCAGTGAAAATTAAAATGTCTGATCTATAGAACACCATGAAATAAATGCCACGTCAATTTTGAAATGTAATTGCCAAACAAAAGCTCCACTGTTTGTACAGTTCAAGAAACACGGAAAAATATTAATGTGAAATGAATATATTTTAAATAAATTATGCATATCATTGCATACTTGGTTTTACTGCACATCCAGATGCAGTAAAATTAGAATAACTCCACTTGTAAGTTGATATGTTGGTACTCTGCTATATATCATTATCATGTTGCTGGATCAAAGGTAAAAACCCCGGGTAAAGGCTCCAGAGGTCAAACACATAATGAGCAGAAGGGCAGGTGAGAATGTGGGTGCAAGTTAGAAAGAAGGGAAAAGGTAGAATAAAAAAGAACACTTTTAAGCGTACAGGAAGAGAAGTTCTATCGAATGACACACAATAATTCTTAAGAGAAAATTTCATCAAAATACCTCGAACATCTTTTCATGCATTCCCCTATGGTAGTATATAGAAATCATCTTATCATAGAAAGTACGAGGCATGCTTTCCAGATTCTCGGAAAATAACTTCATCCAAAGCTCTTCAGCTTCATCAAGCCTTCCATCCTCTGCTAAGGCATTTAGCAATGTGTAGTAGCTTCCCATTGTTCTTCCTTGACCTTTGCTTAACATCCACTTTGTCACCTACAACAAAAAAACAAAACCAAAACCAAACAAAGCCTCATCCCAAGGAAACCCCACACCATAGAAAGAGAAGGTTTACCAAATGAAAAGTACCTGAATTATCCTTTTCCATTCCTTCTCATCTTCAAGGGTCTTCAAAGCTTTCTTCACTGTAATTAAAGGGAACTCTAAATCCCATGCAATAAAAGAATCAAGAGCCCCATATACTTCCTCTTTGACATTTGATAATTCTTTTATCTACATAAGATGGCCCAAAGAAGTTAGAAATCTTGAATGCAACAAAGAATCACAAAGTGTAGTCCATAGATTATTCTTGACGTATATGTCCCACAACAAAAGTCAAGGTAATCATTTTCAATTATTAAATGAACAAACTTTTAAACAACAATTTGTGCAATAAAATTTCAAAATATCATCTGCAGTCCACCCAGAACATTTTACAAACATATAGGCGCAAGAAGAGAAAAAAACTTACACACTCAACAAGCTTTACTGACTTGGAAATGGTTCCTATTCTCCTATTGGTTTTCCACACCCGAGGATATCTCGGTCGAGGACCTTTAGCAGCACATACCTGAAAATAATTACGACCAATGGAGAAAAAGACTCAAAAAAATAAAATAAATAAATAGGATGAAGAAGGGGAAGATTTCTTGATATTTGAGAACCAGACCAAGACAAAAAAAATAAACAAAAAGGGGAAATGAAACCTGAAAGAAAAACTAGGAATTGGACAGGATCCAATCCACATTAAACTGTTATAAGATCCCTTAGTTGTTCATTTTTACCATCTCTTCTTGGCAACCAAGTATAGCACAATTCATTTACTCCTAAAAGCAAATAGGTTTCATGTATAAATATTTTTTATCATCCGATGCACAATTAAGTATCTCCAAGCACATTAACATCTCCCTCTTAAAAATTGCAAATTTAAAAACAACAAGCGATGACTTTACTTACAAAAATCACTCAAAAACCCGTAAGTACTATAACATGAGCTGTGCCGGTGATTGGAACTCTTAAAAACTCTAAAATTAGGAATTCAAAAACCAACGCAGTTAAGCCTATACATAGAAAATAAAAATGCGCTTTTCCTTGATCATACATAAGGACCAAAAATGTTTCAATTCATAAAAAGATTTTACAGCTTATCAAGGGGCTGAGTGCAAAAATAATTAAAAAGTAACCAATTGTAGTAAAACCGAATGATCTGTAAGCTTCATTTAGCAATGACACATGCCAGTAATGAGAATTTACCAAAAACAAAAGTTCTTAAATTTTTAATCAAAACGATACTCACCACAATGCTGCGATTACTGTTCCTCATAAGTTCAAGTAAATCCAAACTCGGAGTAAATATTGAAGGAGAGTACTTCAAAAAACTAAGCATCCTGGAAAAAAAGGATAGAAGAAAGCAATTCATTAGGTTTTCATATGGCATTGAACGGTAATTATTTACACAAAAACAAAACAAAGGTTTATAGACTGAACTATCCTATTCAAATCATTTCAAAACACAAAAAACATACTCCATTAAAGGGCTACAAACTAGATTCAACTGAAAGAAACTACTTTTTCAAATCACTTGGACTAAGTGAGAAACGAGAGGAGGAGAGAGTATTACCGGCGATGACAGAGTGGACTTCTCCCAAATTCCTTCTATTCTCACTCTAACCCTCTCTCTCTCTCTCTCTCTCTCTCTCTGAGGTTTTCTGTTTTCTCCCTTATATTTTTGCTATTTACTACATATATATGGTGGGATAAAAATCATAAAAGTGGGAAGTTTCTATGGTAGATCATCTCTCACCATTCACAGCATGACATTTGGGGATCAGACAAAAAAAAGGTAGTTTAGTAATTTCATAACAGCCAAGAGAGTGAGAGAGAGAGAGAGAGAGAGAGAGGTCCAATGACCACAAAGCAGATAAAATAGAACGAACCACACAGATCTCAACTCAACAAAATGCTAATGGTCAAAACTGCAACTGCCATTCAATTCTCCACCGGTGGTTGCTTCGATCCAACCTCCCGCCGGCTCTCTGACTCCGGCAGCTTCTTCATACCTGGGAACAATTTTCGAAGATCACCAGATAGTTCTTGTGTCAGGATGAGTGATTTCCTTAAGAATAGAGTGAGGGATTCTGCCAAGGATGAGCAGTCAAGCTCAGGTTTTTTGAATGTTATAAATATATCTATTCAATTCATTTTATTTCATGATGTTAATCTTTTTTAAGCAATTCTTGGTAGCTTTTGTTCTGTTGTACTGGGGCACATGTTTGTCTTTTACACATATTTTGCCCTAGTACTTGAATTTGGTTTACTGTCTTTAAGTTAATACTCAGATTTAACTTATCTATTAAACACATTTAATATCAATTGTCTGACTAATCTGTGTTATTCCTCTCTTGATGGTTCCACAAACAAACACAAAACAAAAGATCTGCTCCTACTCCAGTTGTGGGGTGGCCTCCAATTCGTTCATTTAGGAAGAATCTTGCTAGTAGCAGCTCTTTAAAGCCCTCCCCAGAGTCTGAAAAAGAGGTCTCAAACAAGGCTTCAAACAAGAAACCAATTAACATTAGCCGAAAAGGATTGTTTGTGAAGATCAATATGGATGGGGTCCCAATTGGAAGAAAAGTGGATCTTAAGCCTATGACTGATATGAAAAACTCTCCTCTGCTGTTGATGAAATTCTTCAGAGGCCTTCTTGCAGGTTATCTACAGTACTTCATCTAACAATAAATTATTTCAAGTTGTGAATAGGTAATACAGTCAAAAAACCATATTAATGAACTAGTGTTCATTTGTGACTTTCTAAGCACATGATCAATGGTTAAGTAACAAAATCTTTTTCATATCAATGTAAGGTCGTAATTATGTCGTGTTATGTACACTTGTTCAATCATTAAGACAGTGTTATTAACTTAAGTAAACCTGGTATACTGTGGGAGTTTGTATGTCAAATCTATATGAGATCTGGTTGTTCACTTTTTTTATGATTATGTGTCCAGCTCAAAGTGATTCCTCTGCTGATGGAATGAAAAACAAGCAAGAGGGAGAGAAAACTATTACTGGTCTGTTAGTTGGAAGAGGGAAATATACCCTTGCGTATGAGTATAATGAAGGAGACAGGATGCCTGTTGGGGATGTCCTATGGCAGTAAGCATCTTACAAATGCATATGATGCACTTTGTTTCTTCTATTCCTTTTAAAATTCTGCCACCAGTTCACTGAAGCTTTAGAGAAATAGCAACTTGTATGAATTTAGTTTATTTAATTCTTCCCAGGCTTAGATTCCAATCCTACTCTGGTTTCCCTAAATTTAATTACTTTTCCTCATCACACATCTTAAATAACCATTTGTGTATGAATGTAGTTTATTTAATTCTTTCCATAATTAGATTCCAAGCTTAATCTAGATTCCGTAAATATAATTCATTTTCCTTTTTTTTTTCTTTTTTGAAGTGACAAAGACTGAATCTTAGTGTGTAAGATCACTGATCCACTGTAATTTATTTCACTGATGAATTGTAATTTATTTCACTGATGTGTTGTAATTTATTTCACTGGTCAATATAATTCCTTTTCCTGATCTCACATTTTTTGTTAGTAATGCATGCGACCCAAGTCACCCAACTAGATGAGATAAGTTTTTATGAAAGATATAAGAAGTAACGTTGGCGACCTCTTAATAACCATTTATAAGTCCAAGTGTGTCAATTATTTCACATGGAACTCTTCGGTCTTGTGATACTGTGATCTTGTACTATATTGTTATAGATTGCATGAACTACTACTAAGCAGGTATATTCACTCATGATTTGAAGGTTGAATTTGTCTGAGATCACTACTCTGCTGAATTTACAATAGATTGCTGGTTGTAATCTAGTTTCTGAATATGTTATTTTCAGCATGTTTGTATCTACTGTAAAGAGACTGCACATGTTGAAAAGCTCTGAACTTCCCACTCTATGTCGTGAGTTTAGCTATTGAGTTCCATTCGGAATATCTTTCATCTCTTACTCTGCAGTTGGCAGTAAGCAGGAAAAGCTCCCATCAGATGCTTCATGAAGAAAAGCAATACTAGTGTGAGGAGTCTTCACTAAAGATTGGGGGAGACTTTGTTTTGTGATTATTATTTGACATTTTGGGTTACATTTCCTATGGTTTTAAGTAGAGAGAGAGAGAGAACGAAGGCATTTGTAGTTTATGACTACTCTAGCTAGATATTGTATTGAGGGGACAAATGGACTTGTTTGCATGAATATTTGCCTCGTTTTAGTCACTCTTGGCTACTATTTTTTTGATTGATGGTGTCAAGACATGGGTCTCCACATTTTCATAATTCCAAAGAGGAAATTTGTACCCCGTTCTTTTACCGAGAACCTTAACTTATAAAAGCTTGACTTATAAGAGACTTCCTCTATGGTTGATAAATTATCCTTTTAGTTTTCCGATTAATGTTGATGAATCTGCTGCTCATCTTAAGTCATTGCTTTTGGTACGCATTAATGCTTTTAAGCAGGAATTGAATGAATGCAATAATGGAATGAGAGATTGAAAGGAATGGAATATGCATTACCATTTTAGTGTTTGACAATTTTTTAGGATTAAGCAACGGAATGGAATGAATATTTCATTCCAACATTTGAATAAATCAATTTTTATTGGAATTAATGAAATTTAACTAAAAAACTTTTATGGCAATAAACTGATAAAGAATTGAAAATAATAAACAGGATACAATGCAAACCTAATAAATTATAAAATAATCACTTAAACAACAATTTCATGGCTTGTAGACATTAGCATAAAAAAAATAACATAGAATAAAAAAAAATTGATGAGCAGGCACATGCATTAATGCAGTTCTGCAAAGGATAGATATTTCACAAAAATACTTCCTAACAAACTTACTAAGTTACTAGGCAGCAACGGAATGAAGGCCAGAAAATTTTGTGGTTAAACAACCAAACACAACTAGCATGTTTTAGCTTTTCTTTTCAATATGCCATTCAGACATTTTATCATACACTTTGCACGCGTAAAATTCCGCTGGATCAAGTAACTTAAGCAAGACTAAGCCCGACCAAACAAGCAAGATGACTATGGTAAAACTCACTGAGCTACCCCAATAGTGTCCGACATAGCATCAAAGAACTCACAAAATGAGAATACCGAATCATGTGTGTGTAAATATATAGACTGGATTCCAGAGATTGATTCACTTCTGAAGAGAGAAGAAAATAAAAAAACCCTGAAAATTCAAGGTTCGATCTGCAAGGGGTAGGTAAATAGAATCAGTAATTACCTGAGATTGGTTGCTAAAGTTGGATTTGAGCTAATCTAGACTGTTCTCTGTCGCCAATGAGGTCCTTTGCTTAACAGAAACAAAAAGGAGAGGTAGAAAGTAGTTCAAAGGGGATGAGTGAAATGGTGAGAGGAGAGGCTGGAGAAATGAGAAGACAGGTGGAACAGGGGATGGAGGGTAGTATGCATGCTAACAGAGAGTTTATGACAGAGAGAAGATATAAAAGAGAGAGAGGGAGAGGAAGGGGAGATAACCACCGAGTAGGGTGCTCCATCGGGTCTTGAAATCTTGTGATTCGGTTGACCAGTATACTAGCTAAGATCAGGAGTAAAGGACGGTCGTGAATCCCATAAATCTTTTCCCCCACCTTAAAAAGTTCAAAAAAGATGGGGATATAAAAAATAAAAAGGTAAATTATACTTTACCCCTTGAATTATTAGCTTTACTTTATTTTATATCGTTAACTATATAATTTCTCACATTACACTCTAAAATATTAATTTTGTTTCATATCACTCTAATAAATAATAGTTGTCAATTTTTTTGACGATAAATGTGCATGTAAGTGATATTATTATATATTATCAATAAGTAACTGTCTATTACACGTGTGTATGTCGAAAATTAGAAAAATATTTATTTAAAACTTTGACCTTCCTAAGTTATAAATTTTTTCCTTTGGCTGATTTTTCTTTCTTTCGAGTAACCATATGATTACAAAAGATGTAAAATAAAATAGTTCTAGGTACTTTGATGGGAAAGCTCTTTGGAATTTTTCTCTTTTTTTTGATAAATTTTTAAGTTTGTTGTTATATATTGGCGTGATATGAAATAAAATTAATATTTTAAGGTATAATATAAAAAAAATTATAATTAAAGGTGTAAAATAAAATAAAGAAAATAATTTGAAGAGATAAAGTATAATTTACTCAAAAAAAAAAACCATTAGGGTGTAAGTTGGAATGGGCAATACTTGGTTTTACTTGAGTTTAATCCTGCCAACTAAACACAGGAATGCTTATTCCATTCTAATACCAAACGCAGCGTCTGTGTTTTCCAACTTATTGGGATTTGTGCAGTGGGAGTTGGAGGTTTTGGGTGGAAAAGACGATTAGAGAAAGGAGGAAACTATAGAATTTCATTATGGGTGAAGTTATAGGGTATTTGATAATACTATTTAAGGCTAAAAATTGAATATTTAAAACACTTAAAAAATTAAATTTGTTTGTTAACTTAAAATTCATACTATTTAATATTTTAAAGAATTTTTAAAAATAAAATAAAATTTTAAATATTAAGTCCCATATTTATCAATTAATGCTGAAAATGTTAATCGATAAAGGTTTTATAAATTTTTCATAATTGATAAATATACTCTCAATATATTTTACACACCTAACTTTTCAATATACACCATCCAACACCACCTTTATTGTGTCATCACCAATGTCGCACAACCACCACCACCACCACCACCGTTATTTTTAAGGGATCATTTCACATCCCTTAAAAATTCAGAGTTTTGAAAATATCTTTAAATTTGCCTTTTGGATCCATCCAAACACTCCATCGCTCTCTCCTCTTTTAATTTTTTTAATCAATCAAACGAACTAAGATTGTCTCCCAATACATGTTTACTCGAGGGTAAATTTTGCTAAAATTAAAGAAAAGCATTGAAAAATGTTTGGTCGAGGCCAAATTGGGAATGAAATCTAATTGAAAACAAAATTTCTTTTATTTATAACAAAGAGTTTTGCTGTTTTTTTTTCTTCCAAATATTTGACTTAGCGAGCGAGCCAGTGACCAAAAAGCTCGACTCTTATCGTATCGAGTCACTTTAAGTTGTGTTATTTTCAGTATGTGTGGTTTTTGTAACAATTAAAAAAAAATATTTAATTTTGCAACATCTCCTATGACACAATGTAAAAAAAAAAAAAATTTAAACCATCCCCCTTTTTTTTTTTTTTTTTGAAAATTGGAATCTAATACAGTTTTCTATCCTTTTTTTTTGCAATAAGGACAAACACAGATCTTTTAAGTCATTAAGAAAAAATACTTAAAACAATTAAGTCATTAATTCATTTAAACATTATAAAAATATCTCAAAATATTATGAAACATCTCAAAGTATTTGAATTTCGATTTTATCACTGATTTATTTCAATTTTTTTTAAAAACAAAAATATTTTGAATATTTTGACTATTTCAAAACAAAATTTTGATCCTTGGTGATAATAAGTAGGAGATATCATTGATTTGCCTTGCTTTGGTTCCACTTCCATTAACCAGTTATAGCGAAAACAAAAACCCAACAGAAATACAAATAAAAATCAATCCAAGGGAAGTGTGTGCTGGAGGAGAGTGAGAGCAGAAGTAGAATCGCTGAAGAAGCAATACTTCAAACAAGCACAAATCTTTATTTTTATTTTTATTTTTAAATTCTCTATTTTAGTTTATTTTTTATTTGGTGACATTCTTCATTTTATATGTTATACTCAAATGGTGTTCAATAAAATGCATAAATGCAAATTCCATTAATGTCACGTAGAATTTGGATGATGACAATGGACAGCAACAATAAAAATTCATTGTTACTATAACTATCATTGTCTAGTTCTGTAGTATTTGGATAGTAACATTATCATTGTCTTTGTCACCGTATCATTGTTAACATTACTATTTATTGTCATTGTCGTTGTCACTATCATTGTCAATATGACTATGTTATTGTCACTGTCCATTTAATAATATCGCTAATCATGTCATTAAAGGTAAAATAGTAATTGTGACTACAATTGTCTTTGATGATCCAAAAGAATAACGTTTGACAATGACAACAAAAATTTATTAACATTGTAATTGTTACTAATATCTGTCCTCAATATCTCGTTATCGTTATACTTGTGTTATTATCTCATTAATGATAAATTAGTCTTTATGTCTTTTAAGCCACCAAAAGAACAAAACTGGATTTATTGATCCAAAAATCCATAACTATGGATCGACCTCCAAAAACTCTTTTTTTAACTTACGTTATCCTTTAATTGTGTTATTCGTATCTAATTTTATTATCATTCATGTCAATTGATTATTTTATTTTCAGGATTTTGTATCGAATAGAATTCACGTCGACTCCGTGTCAACGGATAAAATTGACAACCTCGGGCCAGATTTAAGAAGAGTCGAAGATCTTGTACCACCAAAAATCGGAAAATTTGGGCAAAGGCAAACAGTGGGCTTTTGGCCCAACTATTTGCAGATTCTCAGACCTGACTTACAAAGAAAAGTACAACTAGTCAGCCCAAAGTACAAGTTTCATTCCTCTTGCTAAATATTTTCCTTTTTCTAATAACAGAATTAGAAGCTGCATATACCCGATGGCAACGCTCGAACATACAACATATATACATATACTAGCAATAACTTATGTCTGAAGACACAATATATAGATAACAACACCGTATTGGAAAAAACTTGAAAGTCATTTTTTAAAAAAATAAAATTATCATTTTTAAAGGTGAAGTTATAATTAATTAGAAAAAATTATGCGCGATCATGAATTTTTGGAGTTTCGGAAGTTATAATTAACCTAATGGCAATCATAATTAACCTATATATAAATTTTGAAGAGCTTCTTATTTTAAACAGTTAAACTAAACTCATTTAAACAATGAAACCAAACTGAGATCTAATGAACCCATCCACATTCACATAAAAAGAAACTCACACAATAAGAGCAAGTTTATAGAACCAAAAGTATCCCTAAATTTATGAATCATCTCCCAAATTAAGGGAGCGAACACATAGCTACAAAGCAAAGTAAAAGACAAACTTACAAATAAGTTCAAACTCCATCAATCAACCTCCAAGTAACCCAAGCAAACATTCAAACTATTTAACCCAAATAATAACTATTTTGGTATAATCCCAAAATTATCCCAATTAATATATGAAAACTTTATTAAAAAAAAAACACATTTCATATTCTCAAATGACTCTCTTAACACAAACATTCTCAAGTAGTCAAAGAAAAATATAATTTTAAAAAACATAACACCATATGTTAATTCACAAATCACAACCAGCTAACAACTGCGACCATGTAAATTAGCTAGTTTGGTGAAAAAAAGAAGAAAAATTGAAAAGGAAAACAACACGTACCTTTATTTTCTTTCCAAGAATCTTCTCTTGAGCATTGTACCATTTAAAAGCAAGTGAGTTCTCGATAAATGGGTCCTAAACATAGAAAAGGAACATTAAGTTATCTACTCTTATTTTCGCAACACTAAAAACACTCATAATAGCTCAGTCCCTTAATATTCAAACTTTTCAATGCTCAACCACATGGAATCAAAGAACAAAAGGAATTTGACATATTCCTTTAGTATTTTCAATTTAAACACAAATCTTTACATTGAATTAGATTATTGGTAATGCAACTCTATCAAGAACTACTTTATAACTTCAAGTATACACCAAACCAAATGACTTTTATTGATCAACAAAAATAACATAAAAGCAGTATCGTACTCAGCCATTAACCACCATGATAGACACATAACAATTAACCACCACGATAGACACAAACACGATACCAATGGCATAACCCACTATTGACATAAAACTAACAAAGCGTAGATACATAACAAAGATTTATGAACTATGATAAAAGAATCATGAGCTCATGTTTTGCTTTCTTATAGTTTATAGAATTTCATCCATACAATGCAAGGTACTTGGAAGATGTCAAAAAAAAAAATTCATCTAAACATACCTGCAACTAATATAACTTCTAATTTCAATTTGTGATTCATTCAAGAAGACAAATTGACAACTATTTGTCAAAAAATATTTTTCTCATAGTAAGCATGGAATTGTTGTAAATAAATTAGACATAAAAAGTCACACATACTATAGAATTTCAAATGCAAACAATTCAATTGACAAACCTATTCCCTTTTCATTTTCCATGACCCTCCACGTCGATCACGCCACTTGATTTTCAAAAAGTTAGCTGAAAAAAGGGTTCTCGACTTAAGTGCATATCACCTAAAGTGCCTCAAGTGTTATTCAAAACCAAACATTCACGTCAAAATATTCAACCAACAATAATGCCCTTATACCTAGGTCTCTTATATACATGCCCTCAAACGATGTCATCCATAAAGCAAACATGTATGTATACGTATTTTTGTGACTTGTCAAAACAGAACTTAAGATCAAAATTGCTGAATTTCTCAACCGCATAACTCTCGACATCATTACATTGCAACAAATTATGACTCAAACTCACTAATCACCTCACATCATCAAACAAATCAGTAAAAATAAATAACAACAAAAATTATCGTGATCAAAATGACCCTAGTTGTAGTAAAAAAAGAATTGAATTACAATCGGAATTAATTGAAATGATTTGTTTGGGCATTGAATTAATATATCGCACAACTCTAGAAATAATTGAATTACATGCACACACTCACATACACACATAGTCAAACCAAATTCACCAATTCACATGACCACTATCGTAGCAAATAACCATTACCATTAACACCAATATTCAATGGAGCATCAAACAATCTTAAGAGGAAGCAACCGATTACAATGTTAATGTAATGCATAATCTTGTGATAAGATGATATCGTAGTTCAAGAATTCACTGACCATGTCAAAGCTTGAAAGTGCAAGGTTCATCTCCTTTCCTCGTCAAAGTAAACTTGGATCCATCAAGTAACATGAGTACATAGTGAACTAAAAAACACAATGATGAAAATTGTAAATAAAACTAAAAAAAAATAAATTATCACTTGAGAACACATTTAAAACAAACCAAAACCAAAAAAAAAAACTTTAGCTATCAATATCACAAAAACATACACCACATGAAACTCATCCACTAATTCCTAAAAGAGCGGGAAAAAAAATATTTAGGAAACAAAGTAAATTTATAACTAAAACATCGGAGTTCTTAGTTTATTTAGCAAAGGGATGATCTCCCTTATTCTCTATCAGCCAGCTCTCACCATGAAAGGGAATAAGAATCAAGCTCTCTCATCTATACTGTCCAAGCTGAAGGTCATTAAATTAGTCCTTGGTTTGAGCTAGCCTAGATTGCAAAAAAAAAAATTAATAAGTACATTATTTAACTTGAGCATTATGATTTGTTATAAAACCATACCAAAACTAAACACGTCTAACCCATATCAAAACTAAACATGTCTAACAGTATAAACCCGTTAACTTTCTCTTACAATGCAACTAAACAACAATTAACATTTAATTAAAACTTAAGTGATACATACCTTTAAAAAAGTTAAAAAGAGCAAGGATTTCAGACCAAATTCATCACTAAATTTTGGATTTTGTCTGCAGGGCTGTAGTGATTGTTGTGACTGTTCACAGTTCTTTGAGAAATTTCATCAAACACGTGGTGTGGTCAAAAATTCGTCACAAATTTTTTTTGGGGGCTACCCAACTGGTGGCACAAAAAGTTCATCACAAAGAAAAAGTCAAAAATATGTAGTTGTTCTTTAGCTAACCAACTGATGGGTGGGGTCTGGATTTGGGTTTGCATACAAAAATGGAGTCATGTGTGTGTGTGAAAATCAGAGATGAATGTATTGGGATTGTGGGCGGCCTGTGGAGTGGGGCTGGTGAGAGAAATATGAAGACAGAGAGAGTGAGAGAAAGAGAAACAGAAGTGTTGACAGAGAGAGCTAAAGGTGGAGAGAGGGAGAGAGGGCGATGAAAAAGGAGTCGAAGAGTGAAACCTGGACAGAGAGACGCAGAGGGTATGAAATTGTGCAGGTGTGTGTTTCTCTATGTTCTATTGTGTGTGTGTGTGAGTTGAGAGAGAGAGGTACCTAGGTCATGGCAAAGGAACGATCAGGAGAGAGAGGGTCTGGGCCTCTAACCGCCTAGTCTTCTTCCGACAGAGGAACGAGAGGTGAGAGAAAAATGTTCCGAGCATGCAGTGTTGACGGCGAGAGAGGAGAGATGGGTATTGATCGTTCATGGGGTTATGTGACAGGCGTGCATTGTGTTTAGGCGGGATTTGGGTTTTAATTGGGATAGATTGTGATAAGGAAAGAAAATAGAAAATACTTGAATTTGAAGATAGAGAGAGAAGCGTGAGTTAGACAATGTTGTTGGGCAGGAAAAAAAATCATTACTCAGTGTAGATCATTGGATCAATATTTTATGTGATGATCTGAACTGTCTTTTATGTTAGGATTACGTTATCGATTAAATGTGTTTATGTTTTGTCTCAAAATAATCTGGACCTTTCTTTGTTTCTAAAATTCAAACTCAGTTCTCATTTATTATATAGACTAGTAATTGCTCGTGCATGAAGGCACTACTTTACTTGTAAAAAATGAACCAAAATGAACAAAGAATTCTCCAAAGCAACAACACATATACAAATACATCAGAAAAAAAATATTAATAGAACCAAATCAAATTTACAATTTTTAACTAATAAATGAAATCAATAAAATTTTTCTTGTATTCATCACCATTACCATAATCCAATTCAATAACAAAATATAATTATAAACTCAATCCACCCATGTAATAAATATCTCAAACAAAAAACTGCCCACAAATGCAACCATCTACATAATAAAAATAAGTTCACAAATGCATTCAAATTTCTAGATTTGGCTATGCAAGAACAATACATCTCCGAATTGATGTTATTGAAAAGTCTCAAACTTAATGTTGAATGAAATATTTCAGACTTTTACAAATATTATGAGGTTTCATTTCCTTCGTTCCTACTAAATGTTAAAGTGCCTGTTGCAAAATTCAATCAATTGGAGATTTCATACAACATCTGAACTGAAAGGAAGATCATATTTTCTACCATTGACTAGTAGCAGTGAGTGTACCTGCCACCCAAGAAATCTGCAATTATAAAATGCAGAACGATCTGCAGTCACTCTAATTGCCATAGCCTGACCTGAACCCTAAAGTAAATTTCATGACAAATATCAGGTCACACAATTTCAAACCAAGAAATGAGAATGGAAGAAGAATCACACACACACACACAGCAATTTGTCAAGTACCCAATAGCTACAAAAGTTAAAATCCCATAACAAATCAACTCAAATCCAACTCAAATCTCAATGGGTATTGAGTCTAGTGACAATTGAAATGGCTCTTACCTTAGGTGCAGAATTCTCAATAGTGATGTTCTCAGCTATAAAGTCCTCTCCTTCCACAATGGTACTCCCACATCCTAACGTCCCAGTTCCAATAACGCGTGACGCTTGAAAACCCAAAAAAACCTCTCAATTTTAAACCCTTCAATGTGAAAAATTTCTATCTACCATGTGGTCTCGTATAAATTTCAGCAGGGGCTGGAATTTCTACAATAGATTATCACACAAATTTAAACCGACACTCCTCTATTTTCTCTATTATAGAACTTTCTGAAAATTCCACTATAGAACTTGCTGACAGTTCTGACAATTCCAGAGTGAGAGAGAGAGAGGACAACTAAAAGAAAGAACTTGGGTGCTCATTACTTTTGACAATATCATTAAGTAATTAAAGACCTTGTCAAACACTAATACTATTTAAACTTAATTTGTAGATATAATTTATTGACGTAAAATATTGTAACCATTGGATTGATAGCGGATTCAAAAAAATATTAAAACTCATTGTCAATTTAATGATTATAACAAATTAGGTTCAAACAATATTGTTATCGTGAAAAATCAAAATTATCTCTGGTCAAACATGAGCCTGAAGCATATGAGAATGTTCACTATTCCTGTAGTTTAGTAAGGACCACAGTATATTCACACTACACCAATTAGTACAAAGTACAAACATAAAAATTTCACAGCTAGTACAGGAGAAGAACACTGCAATGCAAGCAAGAGCATTAATTCATTTCTTCCTTTTTTTCTCACCATTGTTAAATTGCCCATAAACTCATTAAGCCTTGACTGAAAAAGCAAAAGCTTTACTACCATGTATTCTGATACAGAGGAAGAGAGAGAAACAAAAAGTGATAACAGAAGCAACTTACACAGGTCTGTTCGGTTGAATTCTAACTAAATACCATTAGAATATGACAGTAGGAAAGCCCACATACTATCGTACTACTGGCTAGTTGTGAAGAGAAAGGATACGAAGAATACCTCGGTGGTGCCTCCGATGGTTATCTGGCGGTTGGTCTTTGGTAGCTCCGGCTTGCAAAAAGAGAATAGAGAAGAAAAAAGAGAGGGGTAGCAATTAAGATTGACTTTTTGATACGAAGAATGCCCCTTTAACTTTTTGTTTTGTTGTTCAAAAATTTTTCAAATCTTTCAACCAATTCAGCCTATTTTTCCACAAAATCAGTGGACTATGCTGACCCATAGAAAAATCAAAAATACAAATTAGATTTTTCAAATGCGTGAATATGCATAAAATGCAGATTATCCTACACTTTCCAAATCAACATAAAAAAACGTTTTTGAAGCCATTATAGGAATGGAAAACAAAAACAAAACCCACTAAACTAAGAAAAAAAATCCATCACACTAATTTAGCATAATTTGTATTCTTCTAGCATCATTGTCTTGACAACCAACCGAAGCATATAAACAAAACTACCAAAATAACATAAACACAAAAAAAAAAAGTACCTGTGGAGACAAAAATTGAGTATCGCACTGAGGAACAACTCAGTCCGGTCCGAGTCAGGCTTTATCAAATCTTTAAGAGTAAATTTCTTAGGGCACTCCAAAGCGGCCACAACTTCCCTAATCTTGTGGAATAAATTCATCGTACGAATTGAATCAACATGGAGTTCGGGTTCTCGAGCTATTCTAAGGCCGTGAAATCGACTTGCCCATAATCTTCCCTATAAAAATACGAAAAGCATCATATAAACACAAAATTGACTTTTTTTTATGAAGAATGCCCCTTTAATTTTTTGTTTTAGTGTTCAAAAATTTTTCAAATCTTTCAACCAATTCAGCCCATTTTTCCACAAAATCAGTGACGAGGGAAAAGAGAATGATAGATAAAAAAGAGGGGCGTGAGATTAGGGCAAAGAAAGGGGGAAGAGGAAGGGAGAAGAAGAGAGAAAGAGATATACCTTTGATTATAGGAGTCTATTGCTTGGGCTGGAGGGCTGCTGCGCATCCCTGTTCGCTTGAGTGTCATGGGAGATAAGAAGGGATATTGGCAGAGAGAAAAAAAAAAAAAGAAAAGGGAATGGGCTGCAGATTAGGGCAAGATGGGAGAGAGAAGGCAAATTGAGGGAGTGATTGAGGGGATTCAAACAAATAAAGGCCAGCGATTTGGGAGATTTTTGAGGAAAGAGGGTTGAGAATCAAAAATGAAAAATATTTTGGACAGAGAGAGAGAAAGAGTTGTGTGTGCGGCCAGCGTGCATTCTGGAGGAATAATTGATCAATTGGGATTGACGGGGGGATTGCGTCTGATATGGATAGACATTGCCTATAGAGAAGCGAGACAGAGAGGCATGAGTCAGAAATCTTATTGGGCGGGAAACAAAATTCAATACTCATTTTATATCGTTAGATCAAAATTTTTGATATGATTTGAACCGTTTTTTCTATTGAAAATCAGATCGTTTTAAAACTAAATATGAACACATCCAACAGACAATGGACAACATAATTCTAACATAAAAGACGGTTCAGATTGATTTAATATTATTAATCCGACAATCCTAATTAATCTATATTTCAACAAAATTCTACTACATTCATTTTATCTCTCCTCATCCTCATTCAAACCATTGGAGAGATTGACTAAGACTCTACTTGTAACACCCCAAAATCCAAGTATTAATAATTACCCGATTGATCACCTATCAACTTGAGGAATACTCATGAATACCATGTAATTCGATACCACGTCGTTATGCCCTATTTACCGAAATCCATAACTTAACAAAATTTGGGCAGAGTCTCCTTTGTACGAGGAGCTCTACCCAAAATGCAACCTGTACAACATTGACCACGCTGGGTCTATCCATCTATTCACAATTGTATAGTATCGAATACCACTATAATCATCATCATTACGTACATTCATTCATAAAAGAATAAATATCTCAAAAGAGTCCCTTATACATGTCTTTTAAATATAAACAAGTTTTTATTACAAAAATTACACAAGGCCAAAAGTAATTATAAATAAGAGACTACGATGTCAAAAGAAGAGCCACAGACCGGCTCTGTCGTCAAAGCGGGTCCATGGCCTCGCCTTCGGTGGATACCTGTGCAATACCTGAAAAATATTCTCATAAAGGGTGAGTCAACGCTCAATAGGGTAACTCCTATAGAGAATATCTCTCAACCTAAATGCAGATGAAATATCACATACAACAATCATTTCATGCAATCATTCAAATATGTCTATTATGAACAAATGTCATAAATCATGTCATGTCATGAGATGAGACTCACGAAAATAATACTAACACCGAGCCCTATCCTGAGCTCCTACAACACATGCAATGTCATGCGTATGTATCCGGGCATTCCAAGCCCCCGTCATTGGAGTTATGTATATTCAATGACTAATTAATTCATTTTCTTGTGTCTTTGTGGGGAGATGATTTATAGTATTACACCAATGAGACACCAATCATCAACGAATTCTCAGGACATCCCACATGCGGCTCCGTTTTGGCCGTTACACTTTTCTGGAATTTCACCGCCGAAAAATGTATAAACCAAGTAAGCAGGTCTTGCACCCGAAGAAGAATCTAGCCTTTCTTGCTATCTCTGACATGTTTATTCATTTAATTTTTCATATGACTCAGTCGGACCTTGGTGCGACTTTTTCGAGCCCAGAATCAACCACCTATGTGGTGATTGATTTCATCCCATGCACACACTCCCACCTATGTCAATGTCAATGAATGTAATGTAACTCATGCATAATGACATTTCAATGTGCAATTGTCTTTGGTACCATTTATAATGTCCATTACATAAAGAATACAATATAATGACATTTTCAACATGGCAACATGTTTATCAATTCTATAAACATAAACACAAGTCCACCACAATAATTATATGCTAAATAATCATTTAACATACATATTATTTTATAATCACATAACAAGCTATTAATTTCATTAAACTTAATATGTAATTTAAAACATAAAATAATGCTAATGTACAATTAACATGTTTTAAACCACTAACATTAACTTACACCAAGTTAATCATAATAGTATTTTTCTAATTACAAAGTTAATTATAAATCATATATTTTACCCACTAGTTACACTAGTCAAGACCTAACATGTGATATACACTCATAGCCTACCCATTTCATATGTCATATTTTAGGTTGAAAGAAAATTTAAATAGGAGAAACACTACCTCTCGTAGCGTGAGCCCACATACTGGAACTTCGAGGAAGCCTAATTTAACTTCCCAAACTTTAGGTCTAGATTATCATCTTTGATATTCTTTCAGAGAAAAATACGATATTTGATGTGGTTGCGTAGCTTTCGCTGAGTAAAACAACTTTAATTCTTGGCCCGAAACGATTAAAAGGTCCAATCTCCGTAAGAAGAGGAAAGGAGGAAAATAAAAATAAAAAATTCTTTTCTCTCTCTCACTCACTCGGCAACCGGCCGGAGGAAGAAAAAGTGGAAGACTAAAGTCTTCCACACTTATATATATATATAGTATAAATTTATTGTTTAAAAATTTATGTTTTTGACCCTTATATTTATAATTAATTATTATTTTACCCCTTTATTTAAGATTTTTAATAATAATAATACTATTTTTTTTCGACTTTTACACTACTGCATTCCTTTTATCTCTCATCATCTCCATTTAAACTATTGGAGAGTTTGGCTTAAACAGTTATATACATATATATATATATATATATATAAATTTCCAAAATTGAAATAAACACTCTCAATGTCAAAAATGAGAAGAACAACTAAGATTTAATTAAAATTTAAATATATGGTTTAGATATCATCAAAATTTATCTAATCTAATCCCACCCAAATACTAAATCCCGCCCAAAAATTAAAACCCACTACACAAAACCCCAAAAAAGTCAATCTGTCTCCTCCCCCCCTCTCTCACCTACGACAGACGCTTTCGCCAAAAATCCACACAGACACAACGACAGTCTCTCTCGCTCTCTCCTACGACAATCTAGCTCACCTCACCACCGGCGACGACCACTCACCTAGGTAAGCCTCTCTCTCTCATGACACACACACACATTTGAACTCCCCCCCCCCCAACACACATTCAAACCCATACACACACAGAGAGCAATGAAACCATAGGCACAACATCACACACACCCCGCAACGAGTTGGGATTGAAAAAAAAATTATTTTCTTTGCATTTGTATATTTTCGTGGAAAAGGGTTATTTGGGTTAGGATTTTCTGGAGAAATCTTTGTTTGATTTGAGTGAAACACCATATCTGTGAGAAAAATTTTGAAGAACTGATAAAGCTAAAAAATTACTAGGGATTCAGCAAAAATTCAGGCACAGGCTGGAGGTGTTTGACAAAATGCTGCCATAGGAAAAATTCTGTCAACATCTCATCTACTCTCTCTCACACACATCGCACATACACACAGCTCATACAAATACGCACATCATCCTCTCCCACACACACTATTGTGACTTTCCAAATTGGAATTTTTCATATGATTATAGGGTTTCTATTGAATGTTATAGTTGTTAGTGGTATTTTGATTGAATGTTATGGTTTTGATATTGAATGTTAGATGAATTTTATTGTGATTGGGTTTTGATTTCACTTTTTGTATTATTTATGAAATTGAATAGTGTTTGTTAGTTGTTTGAAATTGGATGTTGACTTCATTACAAACTGGATGTCATTTTTATAATATGTGGTTTTGATGATTAATTTTTGTGGATGGTTTTAATATTAGACATTTGGATCGGTGTTGACAATAGATGCACCTCTTGACTAGAGCATTGGTGACAAAGTTGAGTTTTCCTGCATCCAAAAAATTCACTTGACACATTTTTAACTTTAGAACTGTCCAAATTTAAAGAACCCATGGAAGCCTCTGCGTTTGTATTTCCAAGATGTGTTTCTATTTTGTCACTATATTTGGGTTTTAATGTTTTTGTAGTGTCTTGATAAGTTTGTTACTCGGAATGATGATTAAAATTTAATTGATTATGTACATCAACTGTCCTTTCTTTTTCCAAATTAATGGTGGGATATGATTGGTAAACAAAATTTAAGATGGAGATGGGATTTAGAGAATACTTGAATGTTTTTGGGTTAAAATCGGTCTTAAGTGTTATGGGTGTATATTGTTCATCACATTGTGTATGAAATCTTCCCCCAGAAAACATGAAGAGGAGCTGGAATAGAAAAATCCGAGACTTTGTTCGCATAAAGGAGAAGCTACACATATGAGGTACTTTTTTTCATTTCCAAGCTCTATTTACTTTTTAGGTTTTTACCATTATTATTTCTATTTTGAGATTGTTATCATTCATTACTATTTTATTATTGCACATGATTGAAGATCATATTTATTGTTTTCTTTTGCATGTCCAATGGGGTGTGGATTCACTTAATTGTGTAACTACCTAAATAACATTAATTTTTGTTGTTAATTAATTATTACCAAGTCTAACGTTATTACATTGTGACACCTTCTTGAATAAGTGGTAGCACGTCTTAATGTAAAAGCATCAATGTAATTATTGCGATAATGATTTGTTTGGATTCGACTCATTACAATTTAGTTGTTTGTTGTTGAGAGTT